TCTATTTTTTTTTCATTCTTCCTTTGTGTATCTATATTCATCGTGTTGTCGTTATGCACTTGTACTGAGAAATAGACAGGACATCATCAATACGAATACATTTTTGTCGCTAGTTTTACTGCACAAGTCATGTCGGAAGGTTATTTCTAGCACAGGTTAAGGTTCCTATTCATAATTATCTTTTAAAAGGTGAAAGAAAAAAGAGTTTCTTGATGATGTCATTTTCATTTTTTGGTTCTATCAAGTTCGTTGTATGTCGTACTTATTGATGGATATATGTCGATAAATAGCAAATTCGACTTTATCTAAGGTTTGTCACAAAAATTTTATTCAGATTATTGTGTAAATATGTTCTACATGAAAAGTCTAATTATCAGTTTTTAGTATACAGCTAGATTCTGATTCATCTTGTATCAATCTTTGATTTACACTATTAAGCTTAAATTAAAAAGTTTAGTTTTGTTATTGAGTCTTAGAAAAAAAAATTAATAAGAAAAACAAGATGGTTTTATTATCTTGGAACAAAAATTTTTATATCAATTTTTAGAAAACTAGTTTGTTTTTATTTTGATATAAAATGATAAGTACATTCGAAACATTACCAAATGAAATATTGTTGAATATATTTTGTTATTTATCATGGGATAAAATATTAATATCATTATGGTCATTAAATAGACGTATTAATTCTATTATTTATTCAATATTTTCAATAGATAAAAATGGACTTATTTTTAATCAACCAGATTTATCTTATAAAAAATTTTCATCAATATTACAACCATTAATTTTAAATTCATCATATCTTTCTTCTTCAATTAAATATATTCATTTTGATGGAACTTATTCAAATTCTTATAATGTTATTAATCAATGTCTTTATTACAATAATGATAAACAAATTCTTTGTTTTCCTAATCTCAAATCACTTAAGATTACTCGATGTTTATTATCACGATCATTAATTCAAACATTATCTTTACTTATTCAATATCAATTGGAACAATTTACATTAACATTCGATGAAGATATAGTGAAGTTGTTTGTAAATTCAAACGAAATATGTAGAAATGTTCCTCATACAAGTAATAATTTTTTATTTAAATTATCTAACATAACATGAGATTAAATAATTTTGAAGAATAAAATGTCTTTGTTGAACTATTTTCAACATATACCAATTCGAAAAACTATCTTTCGATAGATTTTAGTTATTTGAAAATTCTTAATTAAATTTATAGTAGAAAAAATTCTTGTTTTGAAACTTTTAGCCTACAGTGAACTGAGTAGAGTGAAGACAATTTGTACTTTTCGACTTGCGGATATTTTTATCTCATATAGAGAAGAAGAATGTATATCTGGGACTAAAATTTGTTTCATAAGTACAATCAACTTTATTCTTCTTCAATCCATGTAGAATTTGATCCATTCCTAAATTCAAATGATTTTTGTTCAATTTTCAACGAATTATTGTTGGAAAACCAGCTCAACAATGTTATCCACATTGATATCGAACATCTATGTGGACAACGAAAAAAAAAAAACAATTTTTTGATATGATTTGTTAGTGTGCTAGATAAAAATAGAACTCAACTATCGTAGTTCAACAAAGTGGGATAGTTTTTATACAATTTTGAGTGAATTATTCATAGAAAAACTTCAACAAAGTTATGTACATACGTATATAACATCTATCAAATTTTAATTAATAACATCACATGTTTTATCAGTTTCTATCATTATATCTATTTTTAACAACTGATAAATGCTAACGAAAGAATCTTTCCAAATTTCAATGATTTTGTTGTCCATTGATACTAAATAGTATTCCAGTAAAAACTCTAAATGCTTTTGAGTTTCTATTGAAATTCGCTCAAGATATCGGATTTTTAATTTGTCTGTTTTGGAAACGCTGCTGCCAATATAAAATCTAAAATTTTGAAACTCTGTTCAAACTAATGTATATGAAAGATTTTAATAGAAATAATTTCGAGATAAAATTGCAAATACGATGATTTCGGAAGTCTGCGATCCTTCAGAGATATTTAAAACTCGATACTTCTGTAAAATTTCTATAACGATCTATTTATTGGCATCCTATGTATAGTATTTATAACTAGAAAAGTGAGTGAAATCGGAAAGGTGTATCTGAAAAGATTTTCTCATGACGCAAAACTGATAATATCTTAAATGATATTGAGGTGATTGAATAAAAACAAATTATTTGAGATAAAATATATATTTTCTCTAAAAATTTTTTATATAATAAATATGATTTATTTGAACATTGAACATAATTTATTAATATTATTATATTTATAATAGAATTTTATTTCCTATCATTTTTTTTTTGTGATATAAATTAGGAAAATCAATAATTATGTTTAAAAAGCTGATATGTCAACTTTTCTCTGATAAATGTCAATTGATATCTCTTCAACTTGATATTGCTGATGATAATAATCCTCTTAATATTCATCAATGTTTTACATTGTGTTCTCATCCTTCTTCAAGTTCAATTTCTAATAAAATTCAATATTGTTGTTTGACACTTCGTTATTTATACGTTCGTCTTCAATATACGTCTTTTCTTGAACATCTTATTGAACATATACCAAATATTGAACGATTATCAGTCATTTTTAAAAATCGGATGAATCTCGAATCTCGATCGAGGTCAGATATTGAAACATTAATAAAATCAAATGGAAATTGGTTTGAAAAGGTAAGATAAATACTTTATCCATAACTTTTCTTGTTTGTTGAAAATGTTTTAATAACAACAAATTTCAAGATGATTTTTATAATAATAATACATCTATTATATTTACTATTCAATTATTAATATTTTTTCAAGCGTAAATCCTTCAACTAATTCCTGTAGAATAAGTCATAAATATACTATATGGTTCGAATCCACTCGTAAATACGTATGCATATCTCGTGCAATACTATTTTAATTTAATTGAAAACGTTTATCATTAACCAGTTTTGTTCTTCATTTCTTTTCTTGCTGATTGAAAATTGTTCTCACATTCTTTATTGCAAAAATAGTGCACTATCATTTCATGCTGAAAGAGAAATTATAATTCAGTTGAAAATCTAGAATAATAAAATCATGGACATCACTTCTAAATCTGTAAAGCAGAAACGTATTTTCGCATATACATGCATGACTCAAGAAAGAGAATATCACATTAATGCTCGCTAAAAGCAACAAAGACAAATACTTGGAAAGATTTTATATGAGCAAAAAACAAAAGGAAGAGAGGATACAGATGGTATAGGAGAAGGAAGGATCTGTAGCTTTAAAGATTATAAATTTTGTTGTCATACATCAGATGTATTTCATCCATATAGTTTTCGTTGATGTATGCTCACCTTCATTCTTGGCTCTTCAAATATATTCTAGATCGTTCTTCTGTCTTAGTTGTTTATTTAAACTACTTTTGAATACGGATGTATTAAATGTATCGTCACACTGTATTCGAATTATTATCATATTCTTAAATAATTCAAACATTTATTCCTAGAATGATTGCTAGATCGAAAAGTCAAAAATCAGAAATTGTACATGTCAAAATTGGGGAAAAGTTAGAAAACGATTTTTATTGTATTTCTGTTTTGACTAATCCACATGCTATCGAAAAGATATCTCATAACTAAAATCGATAATAACAATATACGTACATGAAGAGTTAAGTCAGTATGACAAAACTAAAAAGTAATGACTTATATTTAATTGAGCAATAAAATAATTTAAATGAACAATAATGAAACTTAGCAATAAAAAAATTTAATGAGCAGTAATGAAATTTAGCAATAATTATATTGAATGAGCAATAATTTATTTAAATTAAAGGTAAATTTTATATAAGGTAGATCCTTTATATAAAAAAGAATATTATAGTGTGACTCGCTTATATATCTTTTGTTTTCTTTCCTTTTCCTCACTTGAATATTTCTCTTCTCTTGATGTTATTCAAGTATATTCCCTTTTTGGTCATGTTTTCTTTCTAGGGTATTTGATTTTTTTCCTAGTTCAGTCATATATATATATATAGATAGCATTTCTGCAATAAAATAGTAGTTTAGTATTAATCTGTTAGATCAATCACCCGTTAACAAAGGGCAATATGAATTTATTTATATGTATAAATACGTATTTATTCTATTTTGCAAAATAAAATATAAAAAGAAAAACAGGCAAACTATCAAAAGCAAAAAAAGCTTTATTCACACAATAATATACTGGTTTTTTTTTGATTTTCCTTTTTTTTTCAATTGTAAATAATTTTTTTATTTCTCTAATTCCTATAAAATAATGTAGTTTTTCTTTGTTTTATTGCTAAAATATGAAATTGTTACTGATACTTAATGAATTAATTATTGTACATTTAATAATATAAGATTACTCAAATAAATTTTTTTTATTGCTCAAAAATTATTGCTAAATCATATTTTAATTATTGTCCATTTCAGTATTTTTATTGCTCAAATAAATACTAGCCAAAAGTAATTTCATTTCGAATATATTATCTTATAATACTTACAGCTTGTTTTACAATTAGACACATTATCCAATATGCTTTTTCGACAGTGACAGATGATGAGTAGTTCTGAAAGCGACTCTCGAAAGTGTGCTTTTCAACATATAGGATATGTCTTTTTGACATATAAATGACAGCAGCTCGTCATCGTTATCAATATTTTTTAATGTAGTTTTGTCATTCTATTCATAGATATGAAAGAGTTACTTGAGAATTATCGTACGAAGTATATTAGAAGCCTCTTTTAAAACTCTTTCTACTCATTTTTATAAAAAAAATTGTTTTGTTCATTTGCTGATAAAATGTCCCAGAACTACGTGTCCAGTAGAACAACGGCCAAAGTATCGAAATTTCGATAAATCTTCTGAAATAACATTTAATATAACTCTTCCTAGTCAAAATATCCCTCGGAAAATACATTCCACGAAGTCATTGCAAAAACCTAGAATTATCTAAGATATTACGTGTTTGACATTGTGGTAATGTAGAATATCGATAGTTTAACAAATATATTGAGAGAAAAAGTGAACCAAAGGAATGTGAACTATATTTCATAAATCGGAAAAATCAGACCATCAAAATAAAATCAGAAAAAGGTACGAAAACCAAAAAGTTTCTTGGATTTGCAGAAATCTGACAATCCTATTTATTCTTGACAATGACAAGAAAATAATTTTTATTTGAGACTTTGAAAAATTGTAGGATGTGGGTGTGGGTCTATTTGAATCAATAACCGCAGACACCCACAACATCCACGCCAAGATTGGTCTGAACATGACTATATTTTATCCTTATAATAGTGGATAAAATCCTACTGAAAACTGATTGGTTGAGAGCTTTTTCTCTCGACCAATCAGATGCAAGAAACCTGTTTCTTCCTTATTGTACGGACAAAACATAGTCTTGTTCGGATCAAACTGGAAATTTGCCAGGGTTCTCTTTTATATGACTCGAACAACACTAAGTTTTGTCCATACATTAGCGGAGAAACAAGTTAAAACTGATCTACTTCTTATTGTCAATGATTGTTTTGATTGCAGTCAGCTTTTTTTGCCCTAGTATAGAACAATATTTTCGAAAAATGGCCTTTTTTTGATTGAAAAAAATCGAATTGAAATAGTATAGTTTTCATCCATAACTATCCCTTTAATTTCCAGACTAATTTTATATGTGTGTGAGCATCTCAGTATCTTCAGCACCCGTAGATGTTGAAATGATGCTACTTTATCCGACTTAAACTTTCTTCCTTATAGAAAATAGGAAGAAAAGTAAAAGAAATCTAATTTCGACAATCAATAGTATTTTGTTTTATTAAAATTAATTTATTCAGAAGTAAATTTTATTCTTTCTTATGTTTTCTTTTTTGTTTTTGTATTGATTCTAGGTACCAAAACTGAACTATTTTACTTTAAAAGTTTTCGTTCGTAATGACTTTGAATTTGCTTATTTGAAATGGATTCTCAATAATTTAAATCATATTGAAAAATTTAAACTTCATCTTCAGATTCATAAAATGTATTCAAATAAAATGGTTAAAGAATATGTTGTAGATGCAAATTTTATTCATCAGTATTGTTTGTCTGATATATTAATCAATATAAAACATTTTCAATTTTATATTGTTTCCGAATGTCAATTATTACCCAATAACATCGAAAAAATAATAAATTCATTTAAAATTCATCCATTTTTTATTGATCATCAGTGGATAAATGTAAATTGTTTCTTTGATCCATTCAAGTCATATCAACATCTTTCTTCTTCAAATGTTAATAAACTTCACTTTATGAATGGCTTAGTGTAATATAAACTTTTCTATAAGAATATATAGAGTTTTTTCAAATATAGATGACTTTTTTTTATTTTAGCTTTGATCCAAATATTTTTACATGGCCATATATTACAAGTATTTCGATTGATTTACATCCGTTTTTGTATTTATTTCTTGAACAATTTGATAAATTATTTCCTAATGTTTCTTATATTAAAGTTTATGCAGGTTAGTATTCTTATTCCATCGTGTCGATTTATATAATAAGAAAGAAAGTACCTGAGAAGAATTAAATGTAAAAAATATAATCTGTTTGAAAATTTGTATAAATTCTTGTGACTTAATTCATTGTCATCTATTTATATAAATATTTCAAATGATTAGATTAAAAATTTCTGCTTCACACAAATTCGGATGTATTGTTGTTTGGAGATTCTAACACTCCACAAACAACAGGTTTTTCTTATTAAATATATCTCATTATTTTTTTGCCAAAATGTTTGAAAATCTCCGTCAACTTCTGCTGAAAAACTATACTATTGTTTTTCGTTTTTTCTCGGTTTATGCTTTGTTGATCGCGCAATAATCTATTGAATGGATCTAGACAGAAAAATTTAGAATTGCTGAATGAACTCTTTTTGATAATCCTTGTTTAGTCAAAGTCTCTTTGTCAAACGTCATGGTATAGAGCTAAAAATTTTACTATAGCCTTTTCACTGCAATTCCAATATATTCTCCAAATTTCAGGAGATTTGAATGTATCTGGCACAAAATTGGTTCTTGAGAGAGAGAGAGAGAGAGGGAAAGCTACCTTAACTCAAATTGTTTTATCTAAAATCTAATTGGATTATTACAGGAACATTTTAAATCTTGCAGCACTATGCCATGTCTCAATAGAAAAGTTAATGTAATAACTATATTATAAAATAACTAAGATCTACTTTTGACAATACAAACTCTTACTATTTGTAATGTTTATTTGTTAGCCAGATGAATGTAACTCACATAAGTGTTAATTGTTTTATTTGAAAATTTCTACATAAAATCTTATTAAATTCACAAGTCTTTTATGCGAGACAAAGTTTTGTTAAGCATAGAATAGAAGCTATATGTATAGCTTTTAAGTAAAAGAAAAGAATAAAAAGCATTTTTTAGCGTTTCCTTCATATAATTCTTTAGTTTTTCCTATTGATAATAGCTTCTGTGTATAATAATGCAATAATATCTCCTGTTGACCAGTGACGTAATCAACATGCTATCGAATGAGTCATTCGAAACAACTAGTCGTTAGTGACTTGTTCAGGGTCATTCCATGGATGGTGCTACTGAGACTTGAACACAGTACCTTGTGGATACGTGTCGAACAACGTAACCACTCAACCATGGCGACTAGTTTGTGTGTATACAAGTATGTATTCAGTTGCGCTCTAGTCGAAACTGAAATCAGATTTCCTCAGGGGCCATCCATAAAGGACGTTCAGGCAAAAATCGAACTTTTGGACCCTCCTTCCGGACATCCGGTACCAAAAAAATTTCAGAAGCCTGTTTGTTGAGATATACTTTGTCGATCGATCTAAGGCTGATACCAATCTTACATAGATCTAGGAAAATCTCGACTCGATACAGCACTTCTTCAATTGCAGATCGAGGAAACCGTTTATTACGAAACCTGAATGAGTTTTCAGACAAATCTCTCCAATTCGGATTCTTCGTGATAAATTATAAAATGATAAAGGCATTCAATCGATACAACCAACAATAGTTGAATAATCAAAGGAAGACCTGAGAATCGAGAAGCCGCTTTATGGAAAAGAACAGATGCTCTGGGATGTTACTTATCACTAATGAAACTCGCGCTCAGTTTGTCAATTGATCACTGCTTTTGTTGAAGTATATTTATCTTGTGATAATTCACTAAAAGGAAAGTCAATCTGACATAGATCTAGAGACTTGTTCGGATTTTATAATAAACTATTCTAAGAAGTTGATATCGAGCTTCTAGTTCAATCTTAAATCTGAAACTGAATCAGGCCAAATCAGGATTCGTCGAATTTCAAGATTATTCTTGAACAGCTACCTCTTTCTTAAATAACTGTGTCAAAACTAGAAATGTATGAATAAGCATTACATGAAATATAATCTGTTAAAAACTTTTTTGGTATCTAAATAAATTTGATTTTTATGAACAGAAAATAGTAGAAATATAAAAAAAGAGACAGTTTCAATACTAATGGCACTAGAAAATAAAACAAAGTTCGTATGAAACTTGCTGTCGATAGATTGTAATTTTTAATTATTTCAATGTCATATCTATATTCTATTAATTGATTTAAAAGAATGCTCTTTACCATAAATTAAGTTTCAAAACTTCTCGAAAAGTTTTTAAGAAAAAGGAAAATTTTTCCAGTGGATTTCTGGACGTGCAGGATCGCTCGACTCTCCCTCCTCCGTATATCTGGATGGCCCCTCATTTCCATGTCAGACCTAAGAAAATGCATTTTTATAAAAAGTTTCATTTTGAAAATACAGCTAACAACATATCAATATAGCTCAGTTTTTTGGCTATAAGAACGAAAATAGACATGGGATTATTTTTTCAACAGTTTCACAGAACAGAAGACACGTTTTGCCACAAAACGGACGATCTTTCGTACATGAGAATCATTGTGTTAGAGAGAGAACGCCATTTCTAAATTTTAAACCTGAAATATAAGCAATTATCAGCTTAATTTAGTACTAGAACTGTTATTTGTTTTCAAATTGACGTTTTTCTTTCTAATAGAAGGATTCCCAGGTACGTGAGATCTTTTATTTTATGGCAAAACGTGTCCTCTATTATGTGAAACTGTTGAAAAAATAATCTCATGTCTATTTTCGTTTTTATAGCCAAAAAGCTGAGCTACATTGATATGTTTTTAGCTGTATTTTCAAAATAAAACTTTTTATAAAAATGCATTTTCTTAGACCTGACATAGAAATGAGGAAACCTAATTTCAGTTTCAACTAGAGTGCAACTGAATACATACTTGTATACACACAAACTATAATCAATAGGAAAAACTAAAGAAATATATGAAGAAAATGCTGAAAAAATGTCTTGTTCTTATATATATTTGGCTAGCACTGTATATAACTATTTTATGTTTAACGAAATTCGACAATAGATTTAAGGAAAGATTGTATTTATATTTCTAGAAAATATATTAATTTTTCTTTTTGTATAGAATATTATAGAAATATTGGTCAGTTCGAGTTGCCAGAGTCATTAACAATACCATTCGAAAAAGGACAATGTAAAGTGACTGATATTCAATTTCGAAATGTGACAAGACTTGATTTGGGATTTTGTTTACCTGGTATGATTAGTAAGTATTGATTTCTTTTTTAGATTTAAGTAGGAGCCCAATCAAAATATTTCTTTTACTTTGATCAATATAATTGAATGCATACATATAAAATATCTGAAATATATTCGTTCGATATGCACTACTTATCAAAACTTTATATATGAATTGTAATAAACTATTTTCCATTTTTAGAATATAAGTACTGATGCAAAAGTTGACATTCGAATGTCTCTTCGTTATTCTTCTGAAAAATACACATTTTAGAAGAATGAAAAATAGATAACTTCACTTTTCTTACAAAATATGAATCCACTCTGTTGCGATGGAAGTTCATTTTCACAATAATGATTTCTAAAATCTAAGTGAAACATGAGTAAATCTTTGGTGTGGATGTGAGAGAAGAGGATATTCACATCCACACAACGACACTCAATTCTTGAAACTAAAGACGTCACACATTTTATTACATAAACAAAACAATATTAATCTGAAGGATACAAAAAAAAGTCAAAATTTCTCAGAATTGTTTTAAAAGTTTTTATGCCCATCTGATGATTTAACGGTTATGTTTGCTTTAGCGATTCCAAAATGGTTTTCTTTCATGGTTCTAGTCTCGGTTTCGACTTCGAGAAATCTTAAAAAGCCATTTCCGATTCGGTTCTCTGTTCCATTTTTTAGAATCGACGAACTCTAAGTACAATATTCATCATCTCGAAGTTATATATCGTATGAAATTAAGATTTTCTCACTTTATATTCAATGATTTTCTTTATATATCTACTTAAACGATTAATACGTCTCTCATTTCATTTCTGAATTATGCCTAAGCCTCTGCTCATATGAAGATGCTCAGAAAAAAATATATTAACACATGCTTAAAGGAAACTTCTTACATTTCTCGAAGGTAGATGTTTTCCAAAGCTAAAATATTGTATTAACCATGATTTTTTGTATCTATTACATTGGCACATAAGTTCTGAGTGTTTCGATCAGTAGAATAATATCGCCAATATAAAACTACATTTTAAGGAAAATAATTATATATTCTGATAACTCTTGGAATTCTCTATCACCTTATGTATTTAAGTCTTGACTTACCTTTAATTGCTGAAAAATATTTTGAATACAGTGCAGACATCCTCACCCGCATTAACAATGTTCGAAATATTTCTCAGCAAATAAATTCAGGTCAACACCTAAATACACAGAACGATAGAGCATTTCAAGAGCTCTCAGAATATATAATTACTTTTCTAAAAAAAATAGATTACTGTACAGATAAAAATTTTACAAACACATGAGAAAAGAACAAAAATGGAGTTCGTGGAAATCTGAGGGTGACGCTGTGTCTTCACTGTATTCAAAATATTTTTGCAGCAAATAAATCTAAGTCAAGACTTAAATACACAAAATGATAGAGAATTCAAAGCGCTATCAGAATATATAATTACTTTTCTTAAAATGTAGTTTTATATTGGCGATATTATTCTACTGATCAAAACGCTCAGAACTTATGTGCCAATGTATTATATCAATATCAGCCAGTACTACGATTGATGAACATTTATTAGGAAGATTACTCTACAGAATACACTACTATGGTTACCTGACAGTATGAAACTGCGAAGGATTCGACAATCAATTATTAACTGTGTTCGATCAACTATCATGGCTCTTATCAAAGTTCTTTTGTAATTTCTAATTTATTATTCTTGAGCACTTCTATGCTTGTAATATAATATAATCCTAGCTCTAAACTTATGACTTTTTATATAAAAAAGAACTTTATTAGACTACTATTCTGTAAAAGATGAGGATTCAGAATTCATCTTTAAAGATCTTTCTTTCTTACTGCATTTTCAACCTTCAAGCAGTAAACGAAACTTAAAAGTATGATAAAATTTGTTTCTCTCAAATGAGAACATAATACCTTTCGATTTTCAATCGATATAGAATCACTAAGTTGCTTATTAGACACATGCTTTTTGTTATCAACGATTCAGAAGCAGTAGATATTTCTACAAGCGATGATCATCAGTACAAGATATAATAACAAAGAACTGGAATTTGCCATCAAATATCTGAATAAAATATTATTTTATTGGAAACATCTCGAAAATCATACTTCGAATGAATGACTTAAAATCTTCTCTAATATTTGTTGAGCCAAAATAATCTAAAGTAGCTCATGAAATCATGATAAAAAGAAAACTACAAAAAAATTAAAGATTACCGTTTGATTCTTTGTTGTTTCTATACGAATTCTTTGATAAGCATACTAATCTAAACAAAACTCAAGAGAGAAAATAGAAAAAAAAATGATATCTATTAACTGAATAATCAAATAAGCAGAATTTAAGTTTTATTTAGATTTCAGATGAAGGTCAAATGCAATGGGAATTTTCTGAACATAATGTTAGAAAACTCTTTAAATATAGATTTTCAATGATTATTTTTCATTTTCATGAAACATATTTTAACAGAAGAATACGAAGAGATATTTCTGACACAAAAAAAAAATTTTTGCACTTCTCGTTATCAATAATATATAATTCATCTTTAGTAAAATATCTAAATATGAACTCTTTGCAAGAATCAAACAAAAAAAAAACATAATTCTCTGTTCTATAAAATATCACTTATATTCTTTTTTATGAAACACAATCTAAAATGAGTATTGAAGTAAACAAGTAGAAATTTTAATCCATTCATCTTCCTTTCACAACAGGTCATGATAGACACTAAACTAGTCTACTGCGGAATTATTATGAAACATGACAATATTTCAGATACATGCCTTTTGTCTTTCTTTCATATTAACTGTTATATACTAAAATTAACATCTTTCATTACCAACAATCAAATAACAGTAGATAGTAATTCATCAAACAAAACATATGTTGATAAATTTCTTCATCATTTACAATGTTTCATATTTTAATCCTATAAAGATTAACATTGACTAACGTAAAATTGTTTTCTAGACAGTTGTGATACATCAATAGAATTAAATAAAGCACGTGCAAAAGTATTTGCTCATCTTATTTCAATGTCTGTTCAACTCAAATATCTTCTTGTTGAAAATATTGAGTGGCTTTTTCACGTTATTCAATATGTAAGTATTTATTATATTTGTAATCTTACTTTGATTTTAAAAAAAAAATTTTATCTTTTAATAGCTGATTTGATATTATAAAAAATGCTCATCTAGATAATTTTAGAAATTATGTCTAATAGATTTCATTTTGATAATTAGATTCTTTAAATCTTAAAGCGAAAGAACGTAGGTGTATAAGAGTCATTGTTGGACCATCGTCAATTTCAATCGGTTCCTTGTTTTCTAGGTGCAGAATTTCACAAGGAATCCTTTGATAAGAAAATAAAGCTTTTTTTTTTTGACGAGTTTAGACACACTTTTGTTCAAAATGCTAAGATTTGCTTCTATACCATAAATATGTAATCTGAAAGCTCGAAGAACGAATTACAAAATTATATATATAATTGATTAAATGAATTAATTCTGAAATATTTCTATTTATATATATTATGTATATATAATATTTTTTTTCTTTTATCTTTAGGCATCAAATGAACTAAAAAGAAATGCATTGAATACTATTCAATGTGCTGAATTTGGTATTCCTAGTTGTCATTATGGTTCGAATGATTCAATTTATATTGGTAAAAATCTTGTACCTTTTCTCAGTACTTATATGCCTCAATTACAAACATTGTATCTTTGGCGACCAGATGATTTTCCTTGGACATCTAGTAAGTTTATTCTAGATAAAAATTTAATGACAAGAAATTTTCATTAGTTTTATAGCTTAGACTTTTCTCAAATCTGAATTAAGATTTCAATGATATAAATTCATATTTCTGTAACATCAAGCAGACTTGATAATCGAACCAGAAGTTGTCATCTTTTTTTGGAATATTTAAATCGAAGTTTTTTCGGTCCATCTTATTGCTACTAATTGAGATCAAAGTTTAATAACTAGGACATTTTTATTTCCTCGTTATTCTTATTAACTAAGATCGAAGGTTATTAAGTACATCAACTGCCCAACACAAATAAGTAACATGAAGAAATTTTGAAAGAAAAAAGTGAAATGAATGTTAACAATTTTTAAGAGTTCGTTAATAGTTCTTCTGTAATCTTTCAAAGATAGAGTTTGTCTTTAACAATGATATGATTTATTTACTCAACATATAGTACATTTTTAACTCTTCTCTTTTCAATTTTATTGTGATCAGTCGCAATGATTATGATATAATTCACTTGAAAAAACAAACAAAATATCGAGACATAATCTTAGGTATGATCTCAAGTAAAGTTTTATCGATTACGAAAGAAGATTTCTAAATAATTGATGCCATTTTCAATGATATTTTGTTCATATGTTCAAGACAGTGTATTCTGAGAAAATTCCTAAGAGGATTTGAATTGATAGATCTTCCTTTGAAGATTATGGCTATTTTACTAAATTTTTTGAAAGTTAGAATAATGTATTTATGGCAACAATAAAACAAGCGAATTTCAAACTAGTATTTTGCTCATATATAATCTTCGTAGACAGTAGGATGTTCTAAAAACGTTTCAGTGAAAATACAATGTTTCCTTTTCATGATGTTGAATTATTAATATAATGAGATAATTTTTTGACAAACAAATACTTTGAGGAAAAAAAATGTCTTTCATACTGAAATTTTTAGAGTATTCTAGTGGCCATAAGCACTATATACAGGGTGACGTAAAAGTCACTTTACACTTGACACTATACACATTTTGATATATTTGAAAATTATTTTTCCTTATCCATTATTTGTAAATCATGATTTATTGTTCAAAGGTATGCTCGGGAACACCTTACAGATAGTAAACAATGATTTATGATTTAAAAATTGTAAATAATCTTCAAATGTGTGCAATGTGTACAGTACAAAGTGTAAAGTGACTTTTAGAACACCTGTAATATATGGATAATACTAGTAAGAACCCGTGCATACTGCACGGCTATTTCCTCCTTTAACGTATGGCCTAGACGTTTAACTTTTCATCCGGTAACAGACATACAGACACCCGATATTATGTATATAGATAGATAACCCTACGGCCTCATACTCTTATATAGCACATATTTTTATAGTCCAGGTAGCCTTCGACCTTATAGCCTTATATCCCTTGTAGCTCTTGTAGCCTTATCTCCTTATTACCTTATTCCTTATTACCTATCCCCTTACTCCCTTACTTCCTTGAGGGCCTATGAGTACCCTATAGGATAGTCCTTAAGCAGACCCCCCTCTCTGAAGTTTCTCGAGAACACCTCATCAGAAAAATTTGAAACTTTCACAGATGATAGATCTCGATGTGTAGAGTAAAAGTTGTCATAGACTCAAAATTCCTAAATGCTTTTTTCTAGGAGATATTGAGGTCACAATGGCTAAAAATCGACCCCCAAATCGTCCCCGTTTCTCAGGCACAGTAAATCCGATCGGGCTGAAATTTTTTTTCTACAGATAGTAAAGCACCCTAAAAAATGCATGTTTTTTTAAATAGTGCTTGTCTTGTAAGGCCTGCCCAAACTCAGCGGTACAATATTTTTCAAAACAAAAAAAAGAAAAGTAGTCCCTCTAGAGTGTCTCTACTATCTGTAGAAAAAATTTCAGCCCAATCGGATTTACTGTGCTTGAGAAACGGGAACGATTCTGTAGATTTTTTCTGAAAATTGGATTTCTAGAAAACCGCGAAAGAAAAAAAATCGTGCTATATTCCTACGGCAATCAATTTATCTTTTCGATTTTATTTGTTGCTTTAGAGCTATATTTGAGTTCTCAAAACGTCACCAGTAGATAGAGGGCACTTGAAAGCACATGTAGAGCAGAAAAAACAAAATATGAAAAATTTGAAAATTTTGGGTCCTGAAAGGGGATTCCCTTAACCCTTTAGATCCCATAGTATCAAAAAAGCTACACCTGTTTTATAATTATTTTACATAACATAATTTATATAAATTAGTATGTACTCTCTTGGAAAGAAGTAATAAAGAGTGTTCTAGAATCCGCTCCAACTATCTGTAAAGGAGATATATAGTCGTCCATGTGTTTGTGTGTAAAACGAGCCAATCTAACAGTCTACTTCAATTGGAACCAGCAGAAATAATTTGGGACTGAAAGAGTTAAGGAGCTATGGATACCCCCATATAGTAGCCCTTGAGGACCTATGGGCACCTTTCCCTTATAGCCTTATTTGACCTTTACCCTTTGACCCGACGCAGAGAAACACGCAGATAGACACTGAACAATATATATATATATATATAGATTCTAGGTTGAAGTTCTCGTGTTTGATTTTTGCTTTAAATATATAATACTAGCTCGAAAAATCAGTAAAATTGTCTTAGTCTTCAGAAAAAACCTATCAGTCGAAACTTTTAGGTATTTTCCTAGAATATTGTTTCTAACACCAAATAAACAAAATAACACTGAAAACGCGCCTGATTCATTTGAGACATTTTCCTTGTTAGTCTAACACATCTCTATCTGTGTAAAAAAAAAATAATAATTAGTTTTTCATCAAATTAAACGAAAATGTCGTTTGAATAGATTTTCAATAAAGAAAAAAACAATAGTCAATTTCATCAAAAAATATCCTTTGAATAATTGATGACGATTTTTTTATTAATTCTATCATTTGATTTTCGAATTTTTTTGTCTTCGCTTACTGTATTTGAGATACTATAGTTTTGATTTTCCCTTGTCATTCATCAACATCTATATGATATTCTTTGCTAAATATCTTCTTCTGCTGTTTTCCTCTTTTCAAACTTTTATTGTAAATAAATATTGAAAAATGTTTATCATCATGTACAATGTTGTGTTTTTAAATAATAAGAGTTGGATATTATATTAACTTGAAAAAGAGATAAAATATTATTATTTTGTTATAAATGAAAATAAGAACTCAAAATAAAGAAGATAATTATCTTCTTGATTAATAAAATAAAACTATTTCTAATTCAAAAAGTTATTCATAATATAAATTCATATTGATATTCTTTTTATTTTTAGTTCGACCAGATATTACACCAGGATACTTTCATCATATTGATGTTTCACGATGGATAGAGTCTTTAGAAACATCTGAATCGATTGGTACGTAAATAAAAATAGTGGATGGAGAACAAAAAAAAAATCTTTTTCTTTTAATTTTAGCTAAACATGTAAATGTTTTTAAGAAAGATCTTCGCCGATTAACTCGAAAATTAAAACAATTTGTTTTTCTTGATATTCATGGAAGAATTGATCCTGAAAAAATCGAACCGTATCGTTCTATGGTTAAAAAATGTTTTCGTCGTAGCAAAGTGGATGTTAAATTAACAAGATTTCGTCTTTGGATATAATTTCTTCTATAGTATATTAAAAATAAAATATTGCTGAATAATTTGTTTTTTTTTGTTGCTCTTGTTTATCTTTGTTAAATATTTTTGTTAAATAAAATCTTCTAATATATTAATTAGTTTCGATTATATATCAATCAAAATCAGCATTTATCTGATTAATAGCTATTTTTATAGTTTTATCTTAGTTTTTGAATAATAAAATTAAGACTAGAATTAATTTAGATTTTAAGCTAATAATTAATTGTTTGAATGAAATTATAATTTTTTTTTAATTTTATTTTTATATACGGTAGAAAATATTTTTTGAAAAGTTCCTAAACAGATCTAATTTGAATGAGTCTGCTTTGTTTTTGAAAACTAAAAAACATTTTCTTTTCAATATTATACACTTAATTAGTATCTATCCGATTATTACTAGACTCTAACGCCATGATTCGATTGAATCCGAGCAGATTCCAACACTATGGATCCTCAGATCAAACAATCAGATGATAGGAGTTTACAAGATCATATTTCTGATCTTGTGAGTACGAGTGTGCAGTATGGGTGTAAGTGCTCTCTGCATCCATACCCACACCCACATCATATGCGATTATCTCATTTAGATTTTTTTCTATTTTGATTTTTTCGGTAAAAAATAGAAAAACGAAACAAATGAAATATCACAAATATCAAATATAAAGAAAATAAAAATAAAATAGATAACGACATAGATGTTAAATATGATTATTTCATGTTTTATTTACACTTAAACCCCCCCCCCCCCTCAAAATTCGATCTCAGCTTAGGAACATCGAGATGCCATGAAACTTTGAGGATATATTGGGGGTATAAAAGTACGTCTATGATAAAATTTTCAGCCTCCTATCCTGATGTATAAGTTACCTACGAACCAAACGAGGGTCGAAAAATAGCTTATCGCATACGCACAAAATCTCGATGGGTATTCATTCAATATGGTTCATTGTTTTTTCATTTGAAAGAGCATGTCAGGATGCAGTGCCTATGAGGGCCCTTTTTTTTATTCTTATCTTTAATAAGAAAAAAAGAGTTCACAAATTCATTTACTCAAAAATCTCTCAAAAAAATGATGCTTATATTATAAAATCGGTTTTCAATATAATAGTAGGAAAGCTTTATCAAAAAAAGGGCCCTCATAGGCACTGCAGTTTTTGATGCTCTATCAAACAAAAAAAAAGATTTGACTTTATATCGAATTATAATTGACTTTTGGTGAGGATACGTAATTCGACCACCATTTTGAGAAAAAACGAAAATGATTTTTGGGTTTTTCGAAAAACCAGCGATTTTTCGAATAGAGGTCGTCAAAAATATTGAAAGTTTTTCGGAAAAAAGGAGGTATCGAAGAAAAGTTTTTATCGTTTATGAAAGAGCAAATGACAGACTATCTCCCCATGTATTTATCTCAATCTTGACCATTCTGACGAAAACTAACTTTTTTGAGGGCGGAGGGGGCCCTTAATACAAAATAAAATTTTAAAATGTGAAAGTAAATAAGTATTTTAAATTTTCGATTTGAATTTATGCGTCGATAGAGAGCGTGAGTGCATTCCAATGATATTTAGTTAAGTTTTGGAAGTTGTAGAGTTCGTGAGTGTATTCTAATAATTTGATCGAGCTTAGAGAAATTAAAAATTATAAGTAATATATAGTGATTGTTGTTCAGATCGAAATTAGTTTCTATCTTTTGGATGGAGATACTGGTGTTATTCCACGTCTATGATAGGTTAGTCTACAATATGTGGTTTTATATGAGAAATTTTATTTTATTGACGTTTTTGTTAAGAGAAGGAAAGAAAATAACGTGTTCGATGAGTTTGAAGAAAAAAGAAAATATTTGGTTGTATTGAAATTTTTGCTTTTATTTAATGAAATTGAATAATTGTTTGTTCTGATATGTTGATGGATACAACATCTATAAAAAAAGACCCTCATTACGTTTTATTCGAATATTAAAAAATTGGTTTATTACCATTATAATGATTTATTTTTCCATTGCGAATACGGATTTTTTTATTTATTATTTGTTGTGGCATTTCGTCAATCTAAGTAGTAGAAGATGTAAAAATGAGAATGAATCGATATATTTATTGGGTTATCAAAGTTCGTTTACTTTTTCATTCCATATCGTTATGTTAATCGCAGCTGTTTCATCCTTTATTTTCAAACATGTTCGCCGAAGAAGTTGTCCTGTATATTGCGATGTTGTAGTTGTTATCCCTTTGTCCATTATAACTTTACCTTCTACATCTACAATATCCGCAAAGAAATAATCGTTGTCTTTTATTGGACTAGCATATTTAAGCCATAAGTTTTCATTTGAGAATCAATTTATTAATAGAGAAATATATGATATTGTCAACAAGTATGAGATATGCTATACTGATACTTTATTGTAATTAATCTATTGTTGACATACCGACGTATGAGGGTGTGGGTGTGGGTGTTTCTTTTCTCTATCTACACCCACACCCTCAAGCTTTACAAAAGTATATCAAAGTGGCTGAAATCTATCAGACTGAATTGTCAAATGCAGATCCAGAGGATGTTGCTCATGTCGAGAAACGCATTGAACAAGTTACATCATACCTTCTTCCACCCGATAACTAATCTAGCAGAAATGAACTCTTCTAAGATTTTCAATTTTTCTATATAACCAAGCGATTTTTGTGCAGAATAATATACAATCACTGTTTTATATCATTGTATACGATATATAAATGTTTTAAACATTTTTCATATTCGAATCGATAAACTATTGGGAATAAATCTTTATTCTGCAATACAGTATACTCATTGGGAAATCACAATATTTTTATTGACGTTAGGTTTGTGTGTCATACAACCAAAAATAGGCATGATTCAGGTGGATAAATTTAGAAAATCAACTTTTTTGTCATGCATACTAAGTTTGTATGATTTTGTACTCTTATGAGGAAAGATATAAGTCTAAGCGAATATGTGTCCACGTTGTAATTTCGCTAAGAAATCGAATTATGACTTGAGAATTTCTTGCTGGATCCTGATTTTTCAACAAAAATTGTCTTTTCGAATTTTGAGCTGAAACTTTGTCCACATAATGTCATCGACTAGTTTAACTTATGAAACCAAAATTTTAGAACTATTGAAAATCATATCACTAAGCTATAAGTTCTTGTAAGCACATATCTTGATCATATTGTGTACACAAGTTAGTCTAATTGAAAATATTATGTGTTGTAGAGAAAGAGAAGAGCTTGAATCTGAAAAAAAGACAGTTTGAAATACATATATTTATTATAACGTTATAGTAGTTTTATTAATTTCGAGTGAAAAACTTTTACATTGCGTTTTTTGGAAAAAAACAAAAATATTCTTGTAATACCTGAGCTGGAATAGTTTTCTGGATTTTTTTTGTACGGTTGAATAGAATTCGTCAAGCTCTACAAGAATATGAATATCAACAATTTTGCTGATCCTCTTTTGAATACAAAACCTGAAAGCAATGAGACAGACTAATAAAAATCTGGCAAATCATATATTGCAGAGTATACGTAACTTTCAATATATTTGGTAGATCGACTATTCTATCTATTATTTTATGTTTTGAGATGTTTTGTCACGTACTGTAGATGAAAATATCCTTTCCGAGCTTCAGGAACAGACTAACTAATTTTTTGATTAAATGTATTGGAAATTAAGCACTCTTTCTTTAATACACGATACATCAGATTTTCACTAGTCTTTCTACTTGTCTTCAAGTTTTGTATCAGAAACAGGATCAGCAAAATTGTTGATATTCATATTCCAGAAAACTATTCCAGCTCAGGTGTTACAAGAATATTTTTGTTTTTTGCAAAAAACAGAATGTAAAAATTTTTCACTCGAAACTAGTAAAACGACCATAACTTTATAATAAATCTTCATATGAGTTTGATATAGATATTCTTGATTTACTAGGGAGGAATCGAAACTTTATAACCACCCTTTATTTTAGTATTTAGTATATGTTTTCCATTAACGTACGTTTTATTAATAATATCAATTGAATGCAATCGTATTTGATGTTAAGCTAGATGTTATCGTTTAAATAACTATATATCCTCAATGTCCATTCTATGTTGAATATTTTAATACTTGTTAATATCAAATTAATGTTATTCACTTCGTCCTCATCTCTTAATCATTAACCCATTGATGAAAATGAGAATTTATTATCTTCATTTTGATCTTACCTTTACTCGAAGAAACGAATTCAGAGAACTAACCAATACGTAATACATGAGAACATAGGAAAGATATCAATAAATCATATGTTAAATCGATTGGGTAAACTTCTAACAGTAACATATAGTCATTAGCAGTGAGTCATTTTGAAATATTACATTCGTTCGATTCCTTCTGTTAGCTTTCTTTGCCAGTGAACATTGTCAACAGAACAGGAAGAAAAGAAAAGAAATCAAATTATTTCCAACACATAAATAAATACAACATGATGTCAAGAAAACAAATCCCATTCTGAGTATGTTTCGTTATGATGTCACTTACTTGAAAATTTTTACGCAATCTGACTATGTTTCCATTGCAAATCAAGATGTGTGGAATTTTTTCCCAATCACTCAATTATCAAAATTATAAATACTACTAAAAAATCCTTCAAAATTTGTTGTACAAAACAAAACGAAACATAATAATACCAATGGCAACTACATTGGAACATTTACCTGATGAAATCTTTTTCGAAATATTTGAATACATACCAATGAAAAACTTATATAGAAGTTTTTCGAGACTTAATCATCGTATTAATTCAATTCTTAGTTCAATTCAACCGCGACTTGCCCTTCAATGTATACAACCTAATGAAATTCATGATCCATCTATGATGTTTTTTGCTAATCGCATTAGGAAACTATCGATATGGCATAGCAATTCATTAAATCTTATTCATTTTTCAAATATTCGTTCTCTTGAACTTGAACATCCCACGATAGAACAAT